AAGCTCAGATGAATAAAGTTATGATTCCGGTGAACGCTCCGACTTCTTCTAATTAGTTCCTGCCCCCTATAAATGTTGTTTGGTTTTAATGGACGCTTTTATTTCTGAAGATGGACTCCCACAAAAGGCCGAAAGCTCAGAACAATAAACAAATTGATCCAATGCTCGACAACCCTTCTTCCTCATTCATATCTTCCCATTTATTACTCTCGTTTGTAAAGTATACCATATGGCTCAACTCCATTGTAAAAACGTTATGAGTACGATGTAGTGCCTTCGTAATAGCATACTCCCTGACATGAAAGACATACCTAATTTTTACCACAAAGTGCAAGAAATAGTATTTGCATGCACATTTTCTATATTTGAAGTTATCAGGGCATCGAATAAAAATAAACAGTATTCAAGTTATCATTTTTACAGAGTGCCATTTTTGTGAGCAGTCAGAAAAAATATCCCCCAGGGGTCGGCATCCTTCGGTGACTGAAATAGTTGAGGACTATGCTGCTCGATCGTCAGTAATAACAACCCTACTCAGGTACTCTCTTCGAATTCAAAAGACATTTGAGAATTTTGGCTAAAATTTCATGAAATAACGGATCTTCTATAAGTCATACCCGAGAGTAGTTTCTACTTAACGGTTAATTGGAGCGTATTTGGCTCATCCGTTGTACCAATGTCGACACGGTCAGCAGACCCAAATGGCTCCTAATTGCACTTGTGCTGACTGTCATGCTGCACATTTCCAGTATGGGTGACGCACATTCCACCATGCGTATTTCCGTGGGACAAGTGCTGACTATCATGCAGCAACAACGGGCTTCGATGATCACATCATGCAAAAAGCCTGTCTCTCGGTTTGCTACTGTTACAACAAGCCTCCGATGATCCCATCGAACAAAAAGGCTATTAATATCTCCCAGTCAGCACTGGCGCACAGTCAGTAAACAGTCCCACATGCAGCCGATCGGACGAATAGATATCAAGGAAGTGGACGTTTAGGTTTTGTACGTGGCTCAAAATCACATGCTACGGATGGAACTCGGTGCCCAGGATGGTATCCAAGTCGAATAAATAATGTATCCGGAAAACAGCAGGATACAGATGAGAACTTTAACCTGACAGTGAAGCCCAGAAAAGATGTATTAGTACATTAGCAAGCCCATCTGCGTATTCAGCGGTGCCTGACGCCTAATAAATGTATATAGTACCCATTAACCGAGTTATTATTATTATTGTCTATTATTCTTTCTTAATCCGCATCCCAACCTACAGCTGACACTACGTCACCAGCCTTAGATGTTAAAATACACAAAACTACAGTCCTAAATTCGACTGTAATGGAACCATTTACAAAATAGATGATCATAACAGGATACTCCCTACTCTGTGTAGAATTAGTTTAACTTCGCAAATGTTAAATGTGCTTTTTCTTTTCAAAAGTTGGAACCGTTTGCGTCTTCTAATACCTGATACCAAACACGGTTCACGCCATAGTTTCTACTGGTGGGCGCTCGTCGCCGGATGACGAGAAAATAGGCTCATTACGGCAAAAAGATAGTCGAAAACCTGTCTTCTTCTCGACACACACACTTGAGAACCGAGCAAAGTGCTATATCGAATTGCAACGGTCGGTAGGGTAGCGTACTAACGGCTTCAAATAAAGGCGACTAATGATTTACTCTAACGGAAGGGAAGGGCGTCCGCTCCTTCCTGTTCAGCAACGGAACGCTTCAACAATAGATTAGCGGACATGCGACTCAAGGCGGACACAATGAAAAATAAGTTCAGTTTACTTGAGAAGGAGCCTAGGGAGTTGTTGCCAAAATCTTAGTCATCCATAGATCCCACGGTAAAACTACATTCCCCCTCCCCATCAATATGTATGGGACATCGATAATTGGGTGTTGCGAACATTTGATGGGACGCGGTCACAACAACACAAAATGCATAGAGATTGGGCAATACTAATCCATCGTCTTGGCAAATCTCATTCTACGGAAGCATCAAGTCGTTGATCTTGAAAAAAAGTAAAACAAAACAGTGTGATAAGTTTATTGTAAATCGTAAAAAAAACTCGGGAGCGCAAAAGGGCGCGACAGTAACATCATGCTTCCGCAGGGGGCGCCTCAGCAGTTGGCGCTTCAGTTTTAGGCGTTTCTTCTGACGAACCAAAGCCGGTCTGAAACACAAATTAAAGACGGTCTTAAATCAAAAGGATAGAATGATAGAAAAAAAGAGAAATATCGAATACTTAACATACAGGTACCAGAAAAAGACAAAAACTCTGCAGTAATGCCAGACTTATTTCCAAAAAATTGGGAACATTTTCGAAAAAATTACCTTCTGCAAACGCATAAATGCTGATCGGAACATTTTCTTCTCCTGCTCGTTCACTTTTTTCAATGTGTTTTCGCAGACTCGAACTTTGGCTGCGGCAGCAGTATTCTCCGGGTGTGCCTTCTGAACTCGCTTAAACAACTGGAGAGCCTGCTCCACATCTCCTCGAAGCAAGAAGGCCTTTAAAGAAATGTCAATTTATGAATAAATGCTACCTCTCCCTTTCTGAACAAAGCCTTCTCGTTGGATGCATTAAAATCTAAAACCTTATCACAGTTTTCAATGACGCCAGCGGGATTGTTCTCCCGAAGGTATGATAGGGCCAAATTAAGATGAATAGCTATCATTTCTTGATCGAGAATTTGTTTTTCTTTGACACCATCCGTGACGATATAGAGAAGTTCACTCAGCAATTTGTTATACATGTCCTGCGCAAGAGTGTGTTTTCCAACCTATGGACCGGGACAGAAACGACATTAGACTTCTGTATGTGAACAAACATTAATCGCAAAGCTGGATGCATCAGTCAGCAAGGGAAATGAAGGGAAATTCTCGATAATTTACGGACAAAAATTTAAATGAAAAAAAAAACAGCAGGAGAATATTACCTTGAGGTATTCATTCGCACGGTTTTTTATTTTCTGTGCATGCTCTATCTGCTCAGAAAACGAGGACAGGGTCTGAACACTCTTCACCTAAAAACTATTACATAACACAAAGACCACAAACCTTTTCAAAAGATTTTAGGGTAACTTCATATTCAAGACTAGAGCCTGGAGGAATTCCAAACTTTGCAC